ACATTAATCTCTCTGACAGCTAACATAAAGTTAGAATCTGTTCAATTTTTAAACGTATACGGATATTTATGTACTTCACTGTATAATATTCGCAATTCCAGGGGAAATGGAACATCGTATTCAGGCAATTAAAATCTGCTCCTTTGTCTAAAAAGTCTACAAGTGTGAATCATCCCTTCTGTACCAAACCGGTACCGATAAGTCCGCCTCATTGGTATGCTAGTATCTGATCTATCTTTCCATACAATTTCTTTTCCTATCCTCGAACATAGAAACGACATAGTAATCGTGAAGAATTCAGGAACACGAAATTTCACCGATAGTCAATTAATGCTCAATGCGCTTTCTCTCTTTAGTGATTTTCAGTTATTTCGTTATGTAATTTCGTCGTGCGATTCAAACGCCGGTGGCCATTAATTTACCTGATTCAATCTTCGGACTCTTGCTTGAATCATTTATTTCTTCTTTCCCTTAGGCCATTGTGCCAAGGGATTATCGTATTTACGCGGACTTTGGACCATGGAGATGCAGAATTTTTCATCCATTTCATTCACACGGGAGTGTAGAGAGTATGAGATACGAGATTGAGAAATGTTTCCTGTGAAATGATAATTGGAGACCTCAGGCCAACAAACGATCAGCTCGGCTTTGACGTGACTTGAATTTTCTAATCGTTCGGAGCAACGAACAGTAACAAACGACATGACCGTATGATGTGACGTCATGATACGACCATTTGTTATACCGAACTATTTAAAAAATTTATTTTTTACAGTCAAATCGAAATCGAGCTGAACTCTTTAATTGATTTGAATAGAGAATTTATGAATGAATTTTTTTAAACAGATAAAATAATTCTAAAGAAGACACGTTCAGTTAAATGTTCAAAAATAGGTGCATGTAGGAACTTGGCAATTATCCAGATTGAGTGACAATGAAATACGTACACAGATTCTTGAATGTCGCTAGGACACTTCCTAAATCTCACTGTGACTACTTTCATTTTTCATTCACTCTTCACTTGCGGTTCTTCGCAGTTTGATTAGAATGATTTACACGTTTTCCTTCTACAAAAATAAGAAAGTTTGAGAGATAAATATTTGGTCTCTCAAATGTTCCTGTACTATGGAAACAGCGACAAATAAATGTTCGGTGCACAGTATTCTTACGTATTATAATGGATACAGTGGTACTTAGGTATATTTGCTTTGGAATACGTCCAATTCGGATGTGACAAATTTTGCTCGATATACGACAAAAATTTTTTGTAGAAATTTTGCGTCATTTTTAAATAATTATCTCAGAGGAAAAATTAAATTAATAATCAATTATATTCGGAGTTGATGTAAGCAGAGTTTAAATCTGAAAATCTATAATAAAATCTAATTTTTCGTTTATGTGTTTAAATAGTGTTTAAATTCTTTTATAATCTCATTAATGTAGATATAATATCAATAGGAGTTTTTTTTACATGAGAACGGGTTAACTATTTTTACATTAATTCTTACGGGAAAGGTTGATTTGATATACGTTTCATTCGTTGTAAGTTTAAGCATCAGGAACGGATCAAGGTTGAGCAATGGACATCAAACATTTTCATTTTGTATATCAATGTTCACTTTATTTTCAACACATCATCTATCTCCGTTATGTGACACATACATAAAAATATTTAGTATTTGACACTTGCGTAGTCACAATTTACGTATTCATTTCTGACCTGGTAGAGTGTATATGTAAATATCGTATAAAAATTCCATATAAAAACTTTCGAAAAGACAACATATATCTACACAAAATAATAAACGACACGTACAATGTGCATAGATTGCGGATTTTTACATTACTATCAGTCTCAAAAGTATATTCCTTAAAAAGAATCATAAATTAAAAGTACAACGTTCTGTATTAATACAGAGATCTATATTAATAGATTTCCATATTAGATACAGATTATTTCATTAGTGTAAAATTAATTTATTCAACTAACATCTTCAAGTTTGGCATTCTCTTTGGGCAAGCTCTTCTGTGAGAGTACCAATGGTTCTCTTGGCATCGTGGATTACAATAATAAACGATCCCGCACCCAAGACATTTGTACCTTGGTCCAGTATCACCGCATGAGGAGCATCTGAGAGTAAGTCTAGTCTTCGGGCTACAAAATACTGGTTGAAGATAGGGTGTATTCGCATTTCTAAGTTCATTTTCTGGCACTTTCCGCGGTGAATACGTAGAGGAAGGGTTTGATGACATTTGATACGTCATTGACGTTGCCGGGTTCCTCAGTTGACTATCGTTATCAATCACCGAGTTGGTTTGCTCGGAATCGTCTGAAGTTTCCGTGGATAATCTCTCGTGCCAAGCGTTCTGTCTTTTTTTATATTTCCTAATACGCTGAATTTCTTCAATATTGTCCTGTCTTCGAATGACCGTGTTACTCTGATTAATAGCTGACTTACTGGTACTAGGCGCGTCGAGTGGTCTTTCATTAATGGTATTTGCAATGCTGGAGGGCGGCAGCATGTCAGTTCCGTTGTACCTCAACGTGTCGTATTGTCTGTCGATGGAAGCCGCAGCAACGACAGCTGCAGCTGCCGCAGCAGCGACGACATTTGGCATCATTCTGTTTCCAGAAAATTCATTATTTGGCGGGTAGCTAATCGATGGTTCTCGGTGCAAGGCTTCATGCGAAGAAGTCGGCGGTGGAAATAATGATCGTGAACTGGTCGCTATATTGACGTTATTAACGGCAGAGCTACCTCGCAGCCGATCGTACTCTGAGTTATTCGGATGCTGCAAAGTGTTCATTGACGATGGGGGATATCTAATGCTAACTGGCTCCTGCCCTGTCAACGGGAGACGTTTGTCTACTTGTGGTACCGGTCGTAAGATTTCTTGCATAGGAAAATGGTATCCCGGCGGAATGTTCGAATGTAATCGAGACTGATACGGATAACTGCTGTAAGGGAACATCGCTGGGTGATAATTTAAAGCAGGACTACTGTACGGGTCGACCTGTAACAAATAAATTATACTCGAGTGATTTCTATGCTTTAACAATATGTTAACAAGAATCATTGATGTTGTGAAGTAAATATACGTATATTGTAATTCGCATTATAATATGCACCTGTCTCAGCGTTCTTGACCTCAACTAAAACAATTATTAACTAGCAACCTACAAAAGATAATCGGAAGGAATCGGAAGGTAGACTTTCCATAGATTTTGATCGGAGGGTGCCGGTTCCGATCATGAAGCGGGTAGTCGAATCCAAACAATAGGCAGTCTGCTTGCAAATTCGGAGTCGTATCCGACCGATGGCCTCTGATGCCTCCTGCTTTTATATGCTTTTCCCTATACTCTAATACTAATTTCTAGCTTCTAATGATGTTATTACTCACTGGGTAGTTGTTCAAGTAGAATTGAGGCATAGGAATTGCAGTATAAGTAGCAGGACGTAGAGCTGGAACCGTGGCTATAGGCTGTGCGAGTGTTAGTGGTACCGTGGTATGTTGTAACGGCCGTTGATATGACCATCTTTCAGTACCTTGTGGACCTTGCGGATTTTGTGGTGTAGCGTTCATTAAGTCGTTATTAGCATTGGACACAACTATCGGAACCACAGGTTCGGCAATCTATCGCATAAATGTAACAGAATTATTTTCGATGATAGATAGGAGAGAATTAACTATTTCGATTTTTAATTCTGATATATTTCGTAATTAAATGCTTCTTCAAATTACCCTTATGTGCTTAGTATCTGTTGTTGTTGACAACAACAAAAACCGCACGAACTTTCGGTTCACCTTAATGGAATATATGAATTTTTTCATTTAACTTACTTAGGCTTGAATCTCGGATATAACACCGAGGACGGTACATTGAATTGCGTTGGTTGACCTGTGCTTGATGTGATCTGAAACACATCGAAAAGATAAATCCATCTAATAAGTCTTTTCTACTACTACTAGATTATTATTATTAGTATTTTACGAACATTCTGCAGATTTTTCGTATCGTCGTTGATTTTCGAATACGCACTATCTGGTTGATTTGATTTGCAAGAGTTAATTGTATTCACCTCTGAAGAGGGAAGCTGCTTATCAGATCTAGCAAATGACTTGGTTTCTTTTCGGTTTCTTTCCATCGGTAATTCTACACCAGCGCTAACAGATTTTATCACTGGTCCATCATTGAAAAACACCTGAGATTTAATCTCTTCCGGTTTCTGAATCACATCGTGACACCGATGTAACTCGTTGATTAATTTATCATTCGCATTTGTTTCCTCCCAAGTTGAAATTTTATTCTCAACGATATCAGTCACTTCTATTTCATTGACACAGAAATTAGAATTGTTCGTATCCGAACTGGTAGTATTCGGTTGCTCTGAAATATTTTTCGCGAGCGTTTCAAGCGTTGAAGTATTTTCATTTACAACGTCGGGCTGAACGGAGTCCACGGGCGATTGTTTCACCAAGTTTACGTTCATAATCCATGGCTTCGTCTCTGAGATATTCAAATCCTCCGTCGTCTCCTGACTGGACGACGTAGCTAAGCATATTTTCAGTAAGACCGGTGGACTGTTTGGAATCTCTTGCGTTGTATCATCGTAATATATGGGCGATCGGGGTGACAATTTCGGTGGTCCAGGCGATGACACCGGAGTATTGTTGTCCGTAGATTCTCCATCGGCTTTTCTTAAATTCATGTTTCTACATTCGTTATCAACATTGCTGTTATCATTTATATTAATCGCTTCTTCAATGCTCGGGATCGCCGCTGACAATTTACTGTGCAGCTTGGATAAATTCTCAATTTGTTTCTCATAGCGGTTCATCACTTGTCGTAGACTAGTGTCCCGTTGCGAATCAGATTCATTTGCCATTTGTTTGGATAACTCTAATGCCTTGCTACGCAATTCACTGAGTTTCTCCTTTAATTTATTTCGCCGATACTTCAGCTTGTGGCTGTCGGTGTTTAGAGATGCGAGGTCTGTTTCCGTTTCGTAGAACATGTCGTCGGTGTTGGTAGACGTTAGACTGGATGATGGCTCAAGCGTCTTGTCTTTTATGATTTTATAATTTGTTTCCTGCATCGATTCCACGGTGAGTTGAGAATCAGTCGCTTCTGTCGATTCTATAGAGGACAGTTAAGTAAAGTTGAATATTTTAATTATAATGCCTAATTAATCAGGGGTACATTTAAGAATTTAATTATTTTAAGTGCAATAATATATTTATAAATATGTAGATTCGAAAATTAGGGTCGGTTTTCTCAGGATTCTGAAAGATTGTCGAGCACATAAATGCACTCGAGACCCCTAATTTTAAGATCCAAATATCAACCCGAAACTCGAACTCGACTTGAGATTCGAGACTGAATTCGATAATCCTCACTGCATTCAATGTCGATTATACAAGGTGTTCGGTTACTGACTGGAAAAATTTTAAGGGGTGATACCAGAAGTCAAAGTAAGGCAAAAATAAAAAAATTGCGACCGAGGCACTTTTCAGTTATAAGCGATTAAAAATTTCATTTAATACTACATGTTTAAAAAATTGTATATACAATTAGGCAAACCTGCCTAATGCCTAAAACCTTAACAAATTCGTCAAATTGGCCCAATAATCTTCAAATTTGCTCGGCACTAAAAGGGTTAAAACTGCAAGGTCTGTCTGAAAAATGTAATGACTGCCCCCGAATTAAGTTTCAAGTCTCGAGTTAATATGCATGTCTCGTAATTACAGGTACTCGAACAAATTTATGTGCTGCTCGAACTTTCGGGACAAGACGTTTCTTCTTCGGGTACCTGCACATCCCTATTATGTATAATACATATGTAATAAATGGTTACATTGAATTAAAATGGAGTGTATGCAATTAACACTGAACCTTCTATACACCGCGCGCGGTCAGACGAGCAGTTTTAAATTCTTCTATAAGAAGTAAAAAAAAAAAACGAAATTTATATTGTTATATTGTTAAATTAAAATTATTATTAAAATTATAATTTAAGCTGCTATAAAAAGAAAAGGAAATTTATATTGCCATATTGTTAAATTAAAATTATTATTAAAATTATTATTTAAGTTGCTATCCAACTGGAGTACTAGTGTCTAGACAAAATTGCACTAAAAAATTATTATAAATGTAGCATATTAGTATAAAAAAGCGTCGTTAGGTTCAGTGTTAGGTCTCATTGATCTTTTTAAAGGTGCGATTGTTTGGAACTAATATAATAAAGCGGATTTTTAAATTTATTGTTTACCATTCTTACTCATACGTGCGATCTTCTTCAATCTTAACGGAGGCACCAACTTGTTACTAGTTTCCTCTTTCATCATAGATAAAGATGCAGCGCATTTATTAGTACATTCATTTTGCATCCCCTCATTCACGTTCGGGCAAAAGTTCTTTAAGAACTCGTTAATCGAGTTCCCTGGTTTATTTTGACTAGAATCGGCTTCCTGTGACTTTCTCCTTTTCGTATATTCCTGAACGCTATTATCTTTCTCGTGCTCTGCATCGTTGCTCTTTCTTCTTTCTACCACCGCGAGAGTTTCAACACTGGAAATTTGAGGAATAACGTAATCCATCGAATTCACGGTTTCGTTCAAAGCTGTTCGCTTTTCCGAATTAAGGTCTGTCCCCTGGAGAACCTCATCACTCGACGACGACGTAGGCGGCGATTTTACGGATTCTATCTCGACCGTATTCTGTGCGGTAAATTTCGGTAGAATTTGCAATCTGTTTTGAAAAGATCTCGTGGGTGCTGGACGGATGGGTAAAGAACGGTTTGGTTGCACTGGTATTGAATACGGCTCACGGCCTCTTAATGCGGTTGCTGGACCTTCTATCCGGTCACAATTTGATTTACTCGAACTATCTGCTATCATAGTACAAAATTCTGTAATATAACGTCATGTGCAAAAATACTAGATATTTAATTAACTGCACTTATGTACCATCAATTACAGAAATAACGTAAAAATGTGTACTTCACGGTTCAAGAGATTTTAATTTGCAATTGATTTCTAATTTAATTGTAGAACATTATTAAAAGAATTTTGGAAAAGATCATTTCAATAGTTATCATATTTATTTTTTTATTTAGTATATACGCATTGCAATTTAAGGTGGTATGAGCTGTCAAAAGTTTATACAATTTGTATTTGATTTTTAATTTAATTGTAGAACGTGATTAAAAGAATTTTTGAAAAGATCGTTTTCATAGTATTCATTTTTATTCTTATGTATTGCACTTTTATGTATTACACATTGCAATTTAAAATTCTATGAACTCTAAGATCTCTGCCGAGTAGTTGAGAAATGTGATAAACTTATGCTTAATATTTGAAGTAATAAACTCTATGAATGATATTTGTACAAATTGTTCGACGCATATTCTTAAGTCACAGGAAATTTTTAACGTCTAATTTCTAATTTTTCGATACATCGTTTTCTAACTTGCAATTCTTACTTCTGCTTATTTTACTCAAAATTTTGCCATTCAACATAAAAATTCAAGAAGTAATAACTTTTTTGATAGCCTCGTAAAATTTCAATTGCACAATGTTTTGTTCATGTAACATTTAATAACTGTTAAAATTTCAATACTTTTTCATTGCGTTCAATCGATGACTCGTGCAGCCTTAATTACAACTGTGTATGGGAAAACAGCTATGCACTTATCCTGCATAAAGGAAAACACCTGTTATCGATTTTATGTTATATGTGATAATGTAACTCGGTTATCTCTTGTTGCTTATGCAGTTGGTCATCGTTAAAATACACAATACAATTTTTGACTGGATAATAATTTAAATACTATAAAATTTTGAATAGGATAAAAATCGATAAATATATAATAGAATTTTCTTTGTTTAGATCTTCTCATACTTCTCTTGAAAAAATTCAACTTTACGTTATTCATCTCTAATTTAATTCAGTTATTAAAATCACATTATTCAAAATAATAACAGATGACAAAGTATAATATGTATTCATAAATATTAATTGTGTTATATAATTTGAAGAAACTATTCCTTGCCTAATAATAAATAGAGTATATTATAATAATTAATATTTAAATAATTATATTATATAAAAATAAGTAAATTATATTATAGAAATTATTATTTTCTTGTTAATTGTTATACATAATTATATAGAAATGTAATATCCTTTTGACTTATTTTCTTTTCAAAAAACAAAGTACTATTTTAATTTTAACGACAATTAAACACGTTACACCTTGCCATCTGATCGTAGTTGATTAAAATTAATATTCACCGCTAGTCTTGTACCTAATACATTTTCCACGATGCATTTTCCGCTCCAACTTTTCTTTTCATTCACTGTATTTTTCTTTACACTGCGGAACCGCTTCAGCATCGAGTGTTTCCACACATTCTTCTTCTTCTCCGTCGTTAAATCAACGAAAACAGGCTTCGAACAATCGCCCCCCTGGGAAACGGCACTCTCCTTTGATGCACAATCAACATCTTTCCTGATCGGTTCGTCAAACGTCTCCAAGCTCTTCTCGGCTTTTATGAAGGTTTCGCCCATGTCAAAGTTTTCTTCAATTTCACTGGAACTACTAATCAAACAGACACTGTGTTCTTCTTCAAAGTTCGCGTCGTTCTCGTCACAATTCGAGCGTTTCACATCGTAATCGACCTTTTCCTCTTCGGCTCGCAATTCGCTTGAAGACTGTTCGCGAAACGCGTTATCTCTCGCCTTCTTGTAAATGACATTGTCGCGAGATATCATCACCTTCGGCCATGAGTTCTTCACGAAATACTTGAAAGATGGTTTGTGTTTCTTCGACTTCGCCTTATGTTTTTTCACCGGGTTGTTCGACCGACAACCATTGAGTTCTTTCATTTTTCTTCAACACGCAGCAGAACGACACGTACAAGATTTGAAGAAATGTTGATATTTTTTATCGATTTAACTCGATGTAGTTCTACGATTTTCTATTTTTATATTTATTATTGTGGTGTGCAAAATGTTATTGTGCAAGATTATATTTAACTTAAAGACGAGTGCAGCACGTAATGCCCTCGAGTGCATGATTAAAACAAATTAAAAACGAAACATTCTATTTAGAAAATAGTCATCAACAGAATATCCTCCACTAAAGAAGTTTATATTTTACATAATAAAAAAAAGAATTCAATATAAATTAACCAGACTTATTAAAAACTAAATATGAAAATGGTACAAAAAGATGTGACGGTCTACGTGCAGTGATGGTCTCTTAAAAAAAAAAATGATGAATTGATCAAATAATTTCTGAATCGAACATAAACATGTGTACAGGTGCATTGGGTGCAAATGGTGATCGTGAAATGAGAATCGTATTTTTTTTTGCGATTTTATCCAGACATCGTGGGCTCTTCAAATTGGAACTGGTGTATTTCCAACGGACACGTGTCGCGAAGTGGATCGAGACGCTGTCGCGCGGAAAGTGAGGCCGGGAATCTTGCACGACACGCTCGTATTCCCACTTCCAGAAAAGCTCTTATTAGGGAAACCCTTCGCAATTGGCGGTCTAGAACGCATTCGTTGCGGCGCAGCTCAGGTATATAATCTTTACCGCGGCAAGGCAAGCAAAAGAAACGGAGAGTAACTTCTTTGTTATTACTTATATCTACAGGCCTCTTTTCTTTCTTAGAAACACATGCTATTTTTGTGGCTGAGGATACGTACCCCCTCCTTTTTTACATATATAGCATATGACAAGGGGAGAATTACAAGAGGGAAGAAATGTACTTTCTGTAATATTGCATTATAATATGCAGCCCTAACAGAAGTTTAGAATACGAAGTAATATATTATTTCTTTACTGCAATAAAAAATTCCATAATATCCAATTATCAAAAGACATATTAATAAAATGGCTGACAATTCTGCGTTATTAATAAGAAGACTGCAGTTGTTTATGGAAATTCCTATTTTTGTAAATAAAATTAAAGAGACGAAATGCACATAGACATTCGTTCTCTCTTCTAAATATTATAAATTGTATTTTACTTTTGATATCTTGTATTTCTTCACATGCTGCGTTTCTATAAATTATATAAAATTCCCATAAATGTATAAATGTCCCCAGTCAATTAATAAGGGATTCTTTAAAAAGGGAAATTTAATAAGGGAGTCTATTAATAAGGAATATAATATGGAATTAATAATGATATTATTAATAATTCGTTAGACGAACGCATATCTTCTATTAAAATGTAACTGCAAGTGGATGTTATTAATTGAACTAGTATTTAGTACACTTTAGTTATTACTTATTCAGGGAAAGAAGAATAGCATTATCTCAATACTGAGTTGAAAACTGATGCGTGCAAAACGACGATTGTACGTGTGTGATATCGATCGACTTTTTTATTCTTCAGACACTGTCTAATGGTTAAAAGTAAAAGTTCCCCTTGCAAAATCGATTCGTCAAATAATCAATGCGTTGTATATTTCCCACGAGAACACGTAGAAGAATAGTCATTCGAGACAATCATCGAAGGCAATACGCTCCCGCTTTTATAATCTTGTTACTATTAAAACGACAATTTTCGTCACTATTCTTTTTCAGTGTAGTCATTAATTAATTTAATTGTCGAAGAAAAACTATGATTTTCAACGTTTCGAATGAAAATCCTGCAGTTAATGAAAAATTTTTTAATTTTAACTTTAAGGGTTGGTTTCTCCCCTTGAACTTGAGTTATATAAAATATAGTAAACTACATTTAGCTAAAAAGAAATACGTGTCTAATATTTTTAGCTTTTCTTGAAGACTGCCTTTCCTTATATCCGACCGTTTAAAATCTTCCCCTTTTAATACGTCAATAATGATGCGTCAGAATTTTAATTATTTGATTTGAAATATCTTCTAAATTACTAAACTTTCGATTTACATTAAGTACTTTTTTATAAAGAAATTGCAAAGCAGCTACATCGATTGATTAAAAAATACCTGATCCCATTAAAAGCAACGAAGTTGACTTACACACGATCTTTCCGCGTCCAGTCAAGAAAGAACTAATAAACCGAGAATATAGCCAACTCGATACCATTCGATTCTCCTGTGAAAGCGACAATAGCGAGACAATGAAAACATCGAAGTCGAGTGAGGCACCCTGTATTGAATATGCGTATTGCTTGTATTATTTTATTTGCAACATAGACACTATACAGAAACATGTGGCCACGTGTTCCTTTTCCCATCTGAGGAAAGTCGACGACGCGACGTAGGGACGCGGTGACAAACCCGAACAAAAGGGGTGAATCACCCCAACGTTGCTCTGGTCGGTACTTTTTTTTTACCAGCGAACGACAGTGTTCTCAATAATTTGCCACTTTGAATTGCTTGCATTATACAAGCAATGAGTGCCTCGGACACCTGCGTATATCGATCAGTGAAATTTCATAGCAGTCATTTATGCAACTGAGAAGAACTTTATATTCGTACAAAATTCATTCTCTTATACATTACGCATATACATACATAATAGTTTTCCCTTTTCTTTCAGTCGTTAATAATAATATCAATTAAAAATGATATCAATGAAAGAAAACATCCCTTTTTGAATTGGAATATGTCGTTAGATTAGTATCGAACAAACAAACGAAGCAACCAGCGGTTACCGCTTGTATACAATGAACAACACTTCGTGACAGTTTCCAGCGTCAACTCCTCTTCGTCAAGTCATCAAGTTCAAATTTTACTCTACCACTATTTATCGTGACGATAATAAAAATATTTTCAATGAGTTTAGCAAAGAATTCCTGAATCAGTATTTAGTCAGAATTATTTGCTCCAAACCGTGATCTAAATGTCTTGTTGAATGATAGAAATAATACTCGGTGATTATAAAATAGTCTGCTGATGGGTTATTAAGAACAGCGCTGTCATTTCCATGGAGAAACATTAAAAGCGTAAAAAAATGGTAATGCAGAAGATGGACAGCAAGATGAATTCAACCACAATTTGCAGATCAGCGTCTACTAGTTTAAAGAATCGGAAGCAATATAAACCTCAAGTTTGCACTAATACGTTCAAAAATGTCTGTGTTCGAACCCCTGTACGTAAAACGGGACCCTCTGATGGAAGGGAGGTAACGCACATACATATTTAATGCGTAATACGTAATCTCTCGTAGAAATTTTTTTCGCAATTGCAATATGTATAGACACGTGCTACGCTATTTGATACTAAAATTTGTATATTCATACTATTTCTGTAATTATCATAACAGTAATTATAATAAAAATCCTGATCCAAAATCTTTATTTAAAAATGAAGATAAAATAAATGTTGAATAGGGAAACATAATAGCAAGTAATAAAAAGATGTTTCAATAATTCAGTTCGGTAAAGGTTCGGGTAGAGGCAGGGGACGGATGCAAGTAACAACATTGAAGACGAAATTGCCGGCTCCAAGAATTTTGACGCAAGAGGAATACGAAGAGCTTCGGAAATGCACTGGTCCTACGACGAAGGAAGAACGAGAGGCAATTTTCTTGGCGGAAAGAGAAGAAAGAGAAAGGCTTATGAAAGAGAGTAAACAGAGGAAAGAAGAATTTCGCAAGATAGACATAGAGAGGCCGCGAGATAAATGTCCAGAATTGGTTGAAATCGAAGAGGAAGCCAGGAAGAGGGCGAAGCATATTCTTGAGAGGGCGCAGAACATGAAACTTGAACAGGAGGAAGAAATTCAGAAATGTAATAGAATTATCTTAGAGACAAAATGCCGGGCTATTAGGGACGCGCAGGTAAATAATAGTGTTACAACAGTCATGTAACTCCGTAATTTTATTAGTGACAAAGCGAATGGTGAATGTTTCGTGCACGAATCATTGGAATTTTATTATTGGATAATCACGCAATTTTCGAACTATAGAATTGAGTTTATAACAAGGATATGTGAGCAGAAAAATGTTGACAAAATTTTTAATTTCTATAGATAGAAGAAAAAAAGCTGATTGAAATGGAATTGCAAGAAGAAGAGAAACGTCTGAACGATATGATGGAAAACGAGAGAAGATGGGCAATTAGAGAAGAGATCAAGAAGGAACAGGAGGAGGCAATGAGAAGACAAAAATTCGCTAATAGTTTGATGGAGCAAATAAAGGAGAACGAAGAGAACAGAATGCTACATTTCGAAAGGAAACAGGAGGAGAGTCGTCTGATTAATTTAAGTAATATTGCTTGGCAGCAGGCAGAAATTGCAAAATTACGGAACAAAGAATCAGAAAATGCACGGGTACGGCAACAGCTGGCCGAGGGGAACGAGCAGTTGAAGCATTTCAAAGCGATGGAAGAACAGGAAAATAAAATTATTGATCTCAGGTGGGGTTCATCAAATTGCTCAGTGCATGCATTTAATTATTGATACGTCTCTTTGTAGGATACGAGAGTACCAGCGATATAAGGAAGAACAAGAAGCAAAACTAGCGGAAGAAAAAAGATTGGAGAGATTACAAAAGGAACAGACCAAAGCATTAGTTGCAACGCAGACGATGCAAGCGAGGGATCTTCAGGTATTCAGTTATTTAATTGTTATTGCTCATTTTTAATTACTATTTTTTTATTAGATTTTAAATATGATTTTCTGTGCATTACAAGTTTTTAAGAAATTCTTCCATTTTCGTAGGAACGCCTCGATGAGTTGAATGCTGCTCTCGTCCACGAACAAGTGGAGCGTCAATGGAGGCAAAAGGAAAAAGAAGAAGCTTTGAAGAAAGCAGAGGCTCAGAAATCGCTTATGGAAGAGCGAGAGAAACAAATAAATAATAAGCGAATAATGGAAGCGATTGAATTAGAACGTGAACGACGCGAATTCGAGAAGATCGTGCACGTTCAAAAGGAGTCTTTCTGTCAGGAACAAAAGGAACTCGAAAAGAAACAACGACGGGCTTTAATTCATAGAAGCGAAATATTAAAACAGGTTTATTTTTACATCCAAAATACTTTGCATACTTTTTACATTCACATTTTTCGTTAAATGTAGATCGTAAATTCGTATTCGATCATCCTCATAGGTAAATGAGAAGGAGAGGGAACGTATCCAGACGAGGCAAAGGATGTTTGAGGAAGGCTTGGCGATTCGTACGGAAGCTGCGATACGCAAGAAAAAATTGCGTGAAACGATGGAAAGGAAATGTAATGAAATGAAGAAGAACAATGTGCCTGACATATATATCAACGAAGTGAAACGACTGATTGAAAATATAGAGTAGATACAATAAATTCACAATTGCAACTTATTCATTTATGGTTTGCACTAAGTATCCTGCGTAGCTTTGATATAGTATCTCTGCTTAATTTAAAAGTTATAAAAAATTCAACAAAATTGTAAGGAACATTTTTAAATACTATTTCAAATTGCTATTTCCATAACATAACGACGTTCGAATCGCGTTCAACAATATCTTCGATCTGCGCTGTTGACTGACCCGTGCTGCAGCAAATTTCGTCGAGGTTGTACGTTCCTGTAAAATACTTATAGACCGAATTGTTCTTCGCCTCTTCGTTGAAAGGAGACCCCGGCAAGTATATCGGATACTGGAAATTAAATGTAACAAGTGAATGATCATTCAACTGAAAAGGAAATTTTACAGTGAGGTTTAACAAACCTTATATACTCTGCGGATAAGACCTTCGATCAGACCGAACTGCACTAATCTCCTCTCGTTAATTCTTAAATTCTGAGGATTGAGACGTTGACACAGATCTCTCATACTGCTACCATGTGTCATACTTGCGTACATTCGATATATGTCCCTAAGATATGCGGGCTGTCTGTCTAAAAATGATTTGTTGTGTTTTTCTTTTTATTATTTTCGTAACTTATTTCTAGGAGAAACAATGACTTACGAAATTTCGAAGCGTAAGCTATACATCGTTCCTGTAGTTTTGTATTTTCTGCCAATTCTTTTAATTTTGACGTTGCGGCGTAAACGTTGCTGTATTGAAATATTGGGATCAATGTTACAACGCCGTAGTAGCTGAAGATATTAAATCAATTTATTAATTTTATCAATTATTTTCATTAGTATTTAAGGTTGCATGGACCGTAAGATCTCTGCCAAAAATTTGAGANCTTTGTCATTGTTTTTATGTAAAGGATCATACAACCTCAAGTGACACGCTCAACTTACACAAGATTTTGCACGCAACTTTTAACCAGATTGTTCTCTACGTCTGCTTCTGCTGCTATTCGCGCAACATGATTGAATCCGTCTATGTACGGTAACACTTGCTGAGTCGTTAAATCCCATTGATCACTTTGGAACGCTTCACGTCCTTCCAAGAAAATCGGCACCTGATGATCAAGAACTGGTTTTGGCTCAGGTGCTAATTTTATGACTTTTAAATGGGATGTCATTGTCCCTTCTATTAAAATATTCCATTTTACACCTTTGATACTTTTTACTAGCTGTTTATCGCTGAAAAAAGTATTCTCACCTGTTAATGTACACATTTTGTGTAAGTTTAAATTTTCCATCACTTGCTGCAGCATTTCTGCTAATCTTGTTTTATTCTCATAAGCAGATAAAAAACGATTTTCTACCTCCAGGGCCATCTGAAGGAAATAATTAAATAAAATCAAAAATATATTTATTTAATGAACAGCTGAATAATGCGTAAGTTTTTACCAGAAAATCAGACATTTTTTTTACAACTGGCTCATAGTGCACGGTGCGAGCTTGTGCATCGCACACGAAACACAAGTTAAAATAAAATGCATTTCTAGCATATTTCTTATCATCAAGCTTCACTGGGAATCCTAGTATTTTATAATCCTTCAATGTCCTGCAACAGAATCAAAAATTGAAAATATTTATTCAAATTATTGAGCCGTTTATTGAACTTACACTGTTATAATACTACGTTGCAGCTGTGCTTTTGGTATAATATAAACGCTGACAGTATCAAAAATATCCTTTGAAATAAAATTGTCTGGTACCTAAACCCAAGAAATACATATATCAATCCCTATATATATTATTTCTTCTCAGATGTTTAATAAATTTAATAAAAATTTATATAAAATAACGTTATAGTATAATATAATAGTACAATAGAAATCACCGATTTTATATTTATTTACCTGGCAAGTAATCATTGGACCAACGATATGATGGAACTCTGAGAAGAAGATGCATCTAATGGGATCTTCTTGTCCTTCGTCTTTTACAACTTCTGTTACTGACGTCATTTTTATATCCTTTATCGAATTGCATGGAACCTGTTATTACGGGAGCGAAATAATTTTATATTCACACGCACAAGCATATATATACGAATCATGAGCTTAAATTATTGTTCGAAAGTTAATTTTGTTTCTCTCGTAAAATTTCAAATAAATCGGTAAAAATCTTCATGATGAGCATTTAATTTCCATGAAGAATATTTCTGAGGAAATTTATATATGTACTTTCGAAGTGAGGTTATGTTACCTAATTGTTAAACTGTGTCGACCATTTATTAAAATTTGTCATCAGTATTTTGTCCGCAGGTCACGTCACGTAAATGATTTTATCCTCGATTCGAGCAACGATAATTGGATAACGACAATCTAACAGCTGGTAATATTGTACGCAGCTGTTAAAACGTACCGTTCGAAGGGTGTATGTGTGTGGTGTGAGGTCAAATTTAAAAATTGTCAAAGATGAAGTGCATGATGCCAAAGGTAGAGTGCATCAGTAAACAAGAGGCAGAAAGATCAGTTAAGAAACACGGAAAGGAGAAAATCTGTTATCACACGACGTAGTAACTGAGACGCAAGAAACAGTTAGACTTAACGCTTGAGTGCGAACAAGTGTCTGCACAATACGGAGAGAGATTTATCTTTAATTAACCTAATAGATTTTTCTGGTATGCATACCTAAAGTCTCGAAGAAAATCGTAAGTATTCATTCTTTCATTTCAATTGTTAAATAATTTAACGTTCCCCTATGCGAAATGGCTCTGGTACGTAACGAAAAAAATCGTATTCATTTCAATTGCTAAACATTATCTGCATTGCATGAACACTTTACAACCAAATGTTATTTGTATTAATAAACATTTATTGTTATTATCAGTTATTATTATCTCACAGAATTATATTGTTGAATAATATAATGTAATAGAATATACATGTATAAACTTGTATTTATATCAATAAAACACTAATTAGAGCACGATAAGCATAAACATCTTCGTATGCCAAGTAATGTTTTTTCAAAAATAATACCTTCAGAAATCATCTAAAAGTGAACATATACATGATTGAATTTTGCTTCCTTACACATTTTTCGTATCATTAAAATTAAGATATTTCAGGTGAGTCTTAGGTGACTCATCTGGTATATTTGAATTATTTTTTAAAAGATTAATGTACGAATTTGAACCTATTAATCTGTATTTTAGGATTGTTATTACTATAGAATGTATCTAAGCAATACTTGTCAAATTCTGGGTCTCTTAAGACGATATATTTCCAATGTATAATTTCTGCTATTAAAATTATTGAAGCTAATAAATATCCAACTACAACAGCAATGAACGCTCCTTGTAATTTGTGCATATTAACCAATGCTTTTTCTGACTCCTTTTCTTGTCGTGTTTCCATAATTTTTGACCATTCCATGACCTCGCTTAACCATTTCTCAATTAATCCAATTTCTATTATACGTCTCATCTAAAAATATTCATTACATAAGCTTCTAAATACTTCTTCTATTTCTGTTATGTACTTGAAAAGCTAAAAAGTGTACCAATATATCCACATTTGATTTCAATGGTGAATTTTTGTCCATCCCAATGGCTATTGGCATATTTACAACACATTCTTCCATAATATGCAAATTATATTTCAATAATACACTCCTCGCAGTTTGATTCTCGTTTTGTTCTTTCTCTAATACCTGCCTTTTCACGCGAGCATGTCTAAGCAAGTAGGAACTCTCATAGTAACAAAAAGACCCATTCGCTACTTTCTTGATAGCTTCATTCTCGTTATTTATCAACTGGAATTTGTTACCAATCTTTTGGCTATTGAGGTCTGATGATATTAAAAAGAAATTTTTGCTCTCTTTATTCCATCCTCCAATATCTATAGAACTTTTAGCCAATTGTTCTAATGTATCGATAGTAACTCTGGATGTAATGGAATAATGCAAATAAAATACAATGTACATACATCAGTGAAACAATGCACAGATCGATTTTACTAAAATGATTTTCACCTGGCAACTGGATTTGCTAAGGTTGCAGTCATACTAGCTCGATATGCAACTGTAACTAGAATGCTGTAAGTCCACCACCATCCAATTAATATTCTCACTGCCCAAGGGCTTGGCAAGTTGGGTAACGAAACTTGAAAGAGCATACTATACGTATACAAAATACTATTCTCGAGTTTAGTAAATAAATATAATCCCTTCATTTGCGTTTGGATGGATATTCCATCTTGTGAGTGCATTTGACTTTTATATAGACTTATGTATTTTTTATAAGACACNGATCCAAGTGTATATTCTAAAAACAGAGAAAAAATCCATTTATATTTATTTGTTGATTTTTACTTTTCTTCATACTCACTTAAATGGTAGTATTAAAAGTTTCCATGAATTTTCAGTTAACGACTCCGGCGTTAGAAATGTAAGGCATTCGGTGTTGTATGGTATAGACAAATCAAAATAATTAATATGATCCAGTGTATAATGTAAATCGCCTATATAAAATGCAGCCTTCCCTTGTAGGACTTCACCTACGAGTACAATGACCATATTCTTGGGAGCGAAATCGCGATTAAAAAGGAAGATGGGAATTATACCACAAAAATGTTGGAAAAGACCCATTTTCATCTTATTTGATGCTACATAATTTACATGCAGGGTGTCCTACGTAACACGTTTCACGATTTTTCAAGTACCTGCGATAATCTGGCAAGAAAATATTTTCAACAAAAGTTGATCAGTTTTCGATTGGCTACGCATTGCGATAAGTTTGAAAAATCTCTTTCGATAATTGTCAAGGTTACCTTCTTTTTTTTTAAATAGCACTTTATATTTTTGATTTAAAAGTATTATAGTCCATATCAAGACGAATTCGACGATCTAGTATATAATACGACACTCTGTATATAATGTGCAAATACAGGACATTTGTGCGTCCTGTATTGATTAACAAAATTTAGGGAACAGGCTGCTGAAATACAGAACGGATGGTCACCGTACCTATAAGTCCAGTATGATTTTGATTTTTTCCTCCGTCTCCCCATTTCTCAGAAGCAATGTTATACGGCATGTAATATTTCGGTGTAAAGTTCATTGCTTCTGATATCACCTGCATTAACTGTAAAAAAAAAATGTAAGACAATAAAGCACTACTTCATGCACACACGTTTTTGCTTACTTCATATTCTATTCCTAGCGCTTTTATGCTATTATCTGGTCGTTTCTCATAATATGGTCTTGATTTCTCTGTTACTGCTGGGATATGTTCAAATACGGCAATTCTGGAATGCATATAAAAGCTGTATTAAGTCTTCTCGAATTGTCGTAATTAAGTCCAGTCTTCGATGTCCTACACAATGGACAATTTACTATATTATAGTATTTGAATGATAAAATAATTTTATATTAACTTTATTATTTGCATGACATATTTGCTAGATCGAAGGCCAGCCTTAATTGTAATAGTGTTCAACATTTTTATACGAACAGTAACTGCTTATTCTGCAGGTTTGTGGTTTTTTCTTTGAAGTAATCAGTGCCATAATGTAACTTCCCTTGATACCAAGTATCCAAGTACTTCATCGCAGTACGTGTCTTATGAGAAGGGAAATAAACAGTGTTCAAATCGATTCTTTCTTTAAAAGGCTTTTCGCCAGAACGGTGCCTGTATGCATTATATCGACGAATAAAAACTACATTAATTATTCTATTCCAAAGATAATGTAAATTCGATTGAAACAGGCGAGTATCATATAACAACAAGAATAAGCCACGAGTATCAATCAGGCGTTCACTGAAAATTAAAAAAACACTTGATTCCAAGTATTATAAGTTTCTTATAACTTAGACTCGTTTACCTTTCTGTATATTGCAGAAATTCTGCTGCCAAAAATCCATTAGCAATTATCATGACGTATGCATTGCAGCCGATTTTCTTGCTGTCGATCAATATTTTTTTAATTTGTCGCCTTGGTTTCAAGAACTGTTCATTATCACGCAACATAATCTGTAATGTATATGTATGTATTTAAACAACTTAGTAATAAATTTTCGATACCTTATCTTACCTCGTATTTAGATACATTCAAGGAACTACTAATATCTTTAATACTTGTCATAGATTTGTAAACAGAATCCGTAACAAAAACAATGCATTTAGCTCGTTCGTTCATCTCCTGTACGATTTCTTCAATCACGATTTTTAAATTTTGTTTAGTGTTCTCGTATTGATGTGTCCCGTGCAACGTACTATAAGTAAAATTTTATAACATATTTCATTTGATAATCATTTTTACAAAAATTATATGTATATGTAAATTATAATGCTTCAAAAAATTATTGTATGAATGTTGTTAGCAGCGATACCTTTCAGTGGATATTAGTAAGAGTTGGAGGATGAAGAGAAGAAGTATCATTGTTCGAATCCAATTTAACAATTGAAATAGATACAATTGCCGATTTAAATGCTATCCTTACGTATACACTGATTTATCAGTTTCCTTTCCTTCCCTTCATTTGTTAATTGAATCTTAAATGAAGCATTAAATATTTAGAATCTCATTTGCGAGAAAATTAAATTACGTAAGGAATGCAATCGATAATGCGAATGCAAGCCTGCAGTCTTAATCAGAAGGTCACTGATGATTCGACTTCTTTTATTTTAGAAGGTTAATAGTTCCTGAAAGGTATTGCAAATTTATGAACTAAATTAAGATTCTGTTACTGTCTGCACGTGTACGGGCATTATAGAATGCATTAATCATTAAATGAATTGCAACGAAGTTGAAGGCTATGTAGAAGGTTGAAAGAAGTTAGAAATTATTGTTTAAATTCGTTTTAAGATTTTTGCAAGTTGTAGATTTAATTAAAAAGTTATCAAAATTTATTGCAATGTGAAATAATTATTTAATATGTAATGTTGCATGTTATCGTTTTATGTTGATTAGTTATCTTCTAACGTGTACTATATGAACATCATTACATTAATTACTAATATCTACGTTATGTGTATTAGTCTCTTCCACTAATGAAATATTCTATTAGGGTGAACAAAAGTTCGTGCGTTTCAGTTCGTATAATTTTTTGACGTCAATAAACATACTTTATATACAACTGTTATATATCTTTTTACAGCTTTGAAAAGTTATTTAATATTTACATATTAATTACAATTAATTTATTGATAAATAATAAATATATATTTTAAAACAAAAGTCTTTCATTGAACTTTTTAAACTATTTCTACGCTGTATGAAT